GGTAAACACCTAGACACATTTCTCAGATCTGGTCGGTCAAAGTTTATAAACAACCATTTCATTAAAAGTGAACTCACTTCCATTTTTCCCAAGGTCTAGCCAGAGCTTCGAGTTCAGCAAAAGCACACAACTCATGCTAAATGACCATCCTGGGGAATCAGACCACATTTTTCATTGGAATAATTTTAGCGGCATATGAACTATCCTTTTGAATCAACAATTATTATTTGCTCAGTCCATCATCCCCTCATCAGACATGAAATTGTCCGCCAGAAGCCACCTGTTTAAAAGATACTTCCCAGGTGGCTTCTGGTGGTTCACTTTTACTTTTCAGCCCTATTCAAACATATAAAATCTTGGTGCCTGGGCTGCAGCCAGGTGCATAAACATACTAATAGTTTTTGTTTTCTTCACTTTGAAGTTCAGCAAGAGAGTCAAACTGTGGTTTATTGACTTTTCAGAGGTCAGGTTGCTCTTTTGAGTTCAATCCAAACAGCAGAAGATCTAAAGAAATGTGTAGAGTTTCTCACCTGGGCCACTAATGCAGAATGACTGAATCTTCACCCAATCACCTGTCGCATTTAGTAAAGTGAAGCCAAACTTTAGAGCGCGTTCATGTTCTTCTAGTCAGAAATTTTGAGTTCCGAGGAGAAAGTGAACGCACCCTTAGCTGAATGGAAGCTAATATATCAAGCTAACATTTTCGTAAACATTTTATTTACCTACCGGAGCAGATTAAGTTGATGATGCCTCACTTAGATCATTGTTGCTGGTTTCATCATCACCCAGTTACCCATCCCATTTAGTGAAGTGGACTCAAACTTCAGAACGCTTCCTCTCTGCCATGCTGCTTCGTTTACAGCTCGCCCACAGAGACTGACGACATTATGCTCTTGCGCCGGCGCGTGGCACGGGTACCAAAAAAAGGCACCGTTTAATATGACGTGAATCTGTACTTTGGAATTCGGTCGGTTAAAAAGTACAGAATACGGTACCCTTCCCTAGTTTATGGACATGTTTAGTTGAAGCGTTTAACATTTTTAGAGCAAAAACTACATATTCACTTCAGTTATTCAGCAGCTTCAGCTATCAGTTTCAGAATTCAGCATATGTTGTTAAATTAACAGTTCAGCTAATTGTGAAAATTTAACAATAAACTACTCCTACTCAAATGCCAGCTGTTTACACATTTCAGCTGTCCACTTTTTAATATTCTGAGATTTCAGTTTTCTGCTGTTAAGGATATTTTTCTCCAGTCTTCATTTTTTTTTTACTTGATGACACTCATTAGTGATTTATCCTTTTGACTCTTTAAATACATCCAGCTCCTTTTGACAGTTTTGCTTAGTTTCAGCTTCAGTTCAGCTATTCAGCAGTTTCAGCATCCAGCATTCAAACAGCATTTCTGCAAGAAATGCAATTCATCTAATGTATAAAAACTTTTTTTACCTAGACCAGTTCATAGAGCTTGCACTGTCATTCAGATGGTAGCTGCTCAGAAGCTCTCCAACACACATCTGGGCATGTTCAGGGGTGGACAGGCTGCTGTGGGACTTTCTAGAAGAGGAATTCCCATCATGGTCCAAGTCTCACAGACACCCTGCTGATGGGAGCTCTGAGCTGGGTGGCTATGTAAAAATCAAAGAAACAGCTAATGTATTTATTGTTGATTGTAAGAGCAGCAACACACAAAAAGCTAAACCAATTTCATAATGTTAAACCCAGAAGGTAAAGAAAGACAGATGGTTAAAAAAATAAACTCACCTGCTTAAGTTGGACCAGCGCAGGCTGGTGGAGGACTACGTCAGTCTGATTTCTGGGCAAATTTTGACTGAAATAATAACAACATCAAATTGTTGTGGGAGTTTAGTAACTTAGATCATGTACTAAACAAACTGTCTAATATATGTGCTTTATAACATGGCAGGTGAGTGATCTGACTGCTCTCAGAGTTAACTCAGGGTCGAGAAACAGACATGTTCTAATGAGAACCGGGCTTAGCACCAGTTCAGAACCCGGTCAGCGCTTTAGCTGCAGGAGGAGCTATTCCTCAGTGTCCCTCCTGCGTTTCTCCGCACCAGAGCTGATATTACTAACTGGCACAAAAACTCAACCCGAACAGTCTGTGACATCATCACACACACAACACTCGTCTGAGCCTGCAGCAGTGTGGTCTGATGGTAGCTAAATTACGTGACCCATGTCTCTCTTTGCATTTATAAATATAGCAATTGTAGCTGCAAAATTACAGGTAGGAAACTAACTTTAGAAGCTGTTAAAAGTAATTATTTAGCTCACTCACCTCAGATTGGGCCTAAAATCTCCGTTTTGGCGAAGTGGCAGTCGGCAGGATCCGACTAATTACTGGAACGGCTTGGACTAATTTGTAAAACGCTCTTCAAACCAGCATAACCCGGTTCAAACTCCATCAAGTTGGTGAAAGAGTCACATGTAAAAAACACTAAATTACAAAATCTAACAGCCAAGCTACCAGAGCTAAATAATTATAATTAGGGCTATTGAA